AAGTAAAGGCCAGAAGATGCCTGTCTTCTCATCCTCTGAGATGTTACTTGTAGCATCTTGATGGACACTTGGCTTTCTCTGGTAGTTCTTAATTAGATGGAGGCATCACGAGGCAGACAGAGGCCTGGGTCTGGCTGTCCCTGCCRAACTGGGGTAATTGCCGAGCCCATCAGCTGGCATGAGCCCAAATGCTCCTTGTTTGCAGCAGACTCTCCTTCTTCACTGCATATTCACATTTATAGATAAAGGAGACCTGAAGGAGAGGTGAGAAGGCTGGAGGTGAAGATATTGGCTGAACCTCTTGTATTTCCCATACAATTTACATATGCTCTCAAGCTGGGATAACATCAGCTGAAGGTGTTTAATACAAGCAGCTTTCTGATCAACCCACCCTTGCTCAGAGGCCTATGGGATGTGATTTGCTTTGGTCTGAAAACCCTGTAGCTGCAGCAGCAGTTTTATTACTTATCTGCACAGTCAGAAAGTTTCAACTTTTCCCTCCTCRAGGCGTCCAAAATCCTCTAGCAACTTCCTGAAGCTCCCTACGTTTACATCCAAAGCAGGTGGATGATGTGACGTGTATTCCAGTTTCTGGACCTCTGCGGATGCACTTGGGGCATGTTTGAAAGTTTCTGCTTTGCAAAGTGACAGCTAGAGGTTTTGTTTGATTGGTTTCTACAGTGAAAGCTGCTTCTCATGCAGTCACCTTGAACAGAAGGGGCAGCTGTCCCGAGAGCCGGTCCCGCTGAATYGCGCTCCTGCGCCGGGCCTGCAAGCCAAGCTCACGGCTTCATGGCTGTGCAAGGGCAGCAAGGAGCAGAGCGGGACGGTGCTGTGAGCCTGCTCCCATTGCAGGGAGCAGCAACAACCCAAGCGAGCAATTCCCCTGATTTCTAGCGGGAGCAGCAGCACGATGTTTTGCTGACCCCTGCAAGTAAGAAAGTCATAGCCTGGCCACAGGGTTTGCAGAGCAGCAAAGTGCGAGAGGAAATGCGCTCACGGCGTGAGGCAGGGCTCCGGGCAGGACTGCTGGAAAGCTGCTGTAGAACCGGAGCAGTCCGGGGAGATGAAGCTGGGGACGTGGTTTTGGTGGCCAGCTGTTTGTGGACGCACACGAGTTGTGCCCGGAGCAGGAACGGGGTGTGTTTGTTCCGCCTGACTCCGGACACGTGGCCTGAAAGGGTGGGAAGCTCATTTCCCCCTTTCCATATCCACTCCCAGTTTCCAAGCGGATCCCCCGCCCTGTGACACGGTGACACGAGAACAGATTTCTTTATGCTCATCCCACTGGTCGGTGGTGCCCCTGTGGTGGGATTCCTGCTCTCARGCTCACGCTGGTGCTTTGCTGGGTGTGCTCCATGCTCGGGTTTCCTCATCTCCCCAAAGCCGCCTACAGCCCCAAACTTTGAGGCCCCAGACAGCCCTTTTTGATGAAGTGGTTTTACTGCACTCCACTGGGTTATTTTCTCGTATGGAGAACCTTCTCTCTAAATGAAATGTTCTATGTCAGCAATAAAGGCAACAGTTCTCAAATTGCCCACATCTGAGGAGTTCACCCAGGTAGATCAAGTGAAGAATTTTTTTATTAATCAATCATATATACATTTTAAGTAGGAGTAATTACTGTCTTCTTGGTGAAACGCTTTCCACATAGCAAAGTTTCCAACTTTTGGGTGCTCTGTGGACATTCAGTGCAGAGAACTGAAAATCTGTCCATTGACCTCGTAACCGTCCATGAGAGGACGTGCTGTGCCACTGAGCTGTGTTACCATTAGAGATGGGCTGAGCTGGGGCATTAGGCACTGGCTCAGGAGACTCATAGCTCTTGGAGGTTTGGGATATTTCATGTAGGCCCCMTTGCTGGGTTTTGCCCCTGAGTTTGTCTCATTCTCGTCTTCTTTGCATCCTTGTCCATGAGTGGAGGTTGTCCTGCCCTGCAGAGCCCAGAGGCCCGCGGTAGCTGCCAGGCTGTGTTGTGGTCCCTGTGCCGTTAATGCTCATCCAGTCAGCTCTGGTTGTGCTCAAAGGGATGTTTTAGGCGTTAAGAGGAGTGCCTGGGAGCAGAGACTGGGTCAGCACAAACGTCAGACCCAACTTACACATTCACAGGCCTGGGGCAAGTGACACCTGGGGCTGAGTCTTGCAGAGGGGCTGTCACCTTCTCCATGGGTGCTGAACCTTGCAAATTCACTCCTTATATTCCGTTCCGTTCAGAAATCTGAGCTTTTCCTGCCTGTCACGTCGTGCTTAGGGGGTTGCCTCATACCCTGAACAAGATTCATCCACCTGCCCTCCCTCACGGGCACTCGGGGTCCCTGCCCCGGGTGGCCCTGGTGGCCTTCCCAGCGCCTCTGTCCCTCCATCCCTGCGGAAGCGAGAGCCGGGGCGGGAAGTGTAGTCTAGGAAAGCTTAGCCAAACGCTTCCAGCTGTAGTTTGTTGTATCTGTTTTGCTGATACCCACCCTTTAGATAAATAGCACTAAGTTACACACGTTGTGACTCTCTTGATGTGGTTAAAAAGGCCTCTATTAGCCAAGCTAATCTAACTCCAAGAATAACCATGGGAATTGGACTGTGTCGGTTCCAGCCGGAATCAGTCGCTGGGCAGTAAAGTGAGAATTGCCTTCCTGGCTGAAAGTCTAGCAGTGCTGAAACTTCAAGTCAGTCAGTGGGGTTTTTTTCCTGCTTTGGGCTTTGAACAAAACTCCTGCCCATGCCTGACCTCAGACACCCGGAGCTCTACCTACAAGAAAACAAAATTTCACATTTTCAATAAAAAACACGTCTCCGTAGGCAGAAAAGTGAGTTAGCTAACAATCCGCAAAGCTATGGTCTATTTATTTACCAAGCTGACTCCCTGATGGGGAAACATGTGGGATCTTTTAGCTTTTTCTTTTGCACAGATGTTCCTTCTACTCCCGAGTTTCCTCTTGATCTTTGGTTTGCTGCAGCATGTGGTTGAAATGCGGGAGATGTTCTGCGTGGAGGAAGAGGAGAAGGAGCCTGTGTGTTTAAAGCAAGAGCGGCAAAAAAAAAAGTAAAGAAATCCTGACTGCTTTTCTCCCATGTTAGCCAAAAAAATGTTTTTTGAGGGAAATCTGTTAGGATAGCAAAAATGTGAACTCACACACCCTCACTTTGGGGCACGAGGCATTTCTCAGGCTAAATGCTGACTGAGGAGCCCCCCAGGGCAGCTCTGGCCGCCAGCTCAGGGTTTGTGTGGAGGGGTCCATGCAGTTCAAGGAAGGAGAGGGGGTCCTGCGGGGTCGAGGAACAGGAGCGCTGGGGACGGGCCATGTTCCTCTGCCCCGGCAGCTCCTTTCAGCTCCCTTTGGCCCCACAGCTACTTAGCAGTGGAGCTGAAGAGCCCTGTTGAGTGAGTGAGAGCCTGTTGACACGGCTCGCTTTCCTTGCAGCGCCTTACAGCCGGAGGGAAGCCTGGGAATTGGGAAGTGCGGCCTGGAAAACATCTCTGTGGGTCTGGTGGAAATGGGGCACTCAACGACTGGGGACTCATCTGCTGGTAGGATCCAGAAAAGCAACTTTTATGTTTTCCAAGCAAGGACATCCCCTGGCCACAAGGAGCAGAGGCTGCTGCTCGGGCTGGAGGATCAGCACAGCCATGGAGCATTTGATTTTATGCTGTAGATATGGAAGAAAATGAAACAGAATATGAAGCTTTGGGCGTTTGTCTTGGTAGCCTCGCGGGCTGAACAGCAGCAAAAGGATGTCCAGGGTGAAYGGGAGGGTGAGAAGCTCTGCTGGTTTTCAGGGCTGGAGATGGTCCCTCCTGGGCCACCTTGTGAAGGTGCCTCTGGAGCCAGAGCTGCCTCCCCTCTGAGTGCGGCTGTGTGTGGCCTCGTGGTCTGCCCTCGACCTCCGGTGTCTCCTCAACACTGGTGTGTCCAGGCTGCTGAGCTGAGCTGGGGTTGCAAAGGCTGCCGAGGAACACGGGATCTGCACACTGCTTCCCGGAACAGGGAATCCGCACACCACTTTCCAGGGAACTCGGGATGATCCGCACGCTGCTTCCCTAGGCTGGCTCCACAGAAGGGCACTGCTGCTCTGCAGGGTGCTCCGCCGCGCGCATCCCCTGTAGCCTCACGACCGCTCTGTGCTCCTCAAGTTAAGGGCTGCTTGTGGCTCTGCAGTGCCGTGGGGTTTGGCTCTGCTCCTCAGCACAGCTGCGTCACACATGGGGCGTGGAAATGCTGTGTAGAAGTGGATCTACAGCCCAGTAGCTCAGGAGCTGGTGGGCGAGATCTTAGCTGGTGTGGGTGAAACGCTGGCTCTGGAGGGCCAGAGCCTCGTGCTCAAGGGTTGCTGAGATTGGTGAGAATCACGTTGGCGAGAACTTGCCCCCCATGGGCTTTTGCAGCCTGCCCTAGGTAGTTCCCAGTGCCGAGGCCCCCGGGGTGCTCTGCTCTCCCAGGGCTCTTGCTCTCCTCCATGTAGGGACTGCAGTGGAAGATATTTTCCCAAAGCCCATTCGTCTGTCCCTGGAAAGGCAGAAGTGTTCCTAATGGAGCAGGGCAGTGGGCATTGCCTTGCCAGCAAGAAGACAAATAAGTTATTTCATTAAGTGACCTCGAAGCTGGCGGCACCGGCAGCAGTYTTAGCCAGGTGGGTGGCCTGTCACAGGGGCAGGTAAAAACTGTCTCTCCACCAACCTGGGCAGGCTGTGGGTTGGAGATGAAGCGTGTGTTGTGGAATGAAGGGTGAGAGCCTAATTTTAGAACGGCAGAAAGGCCAAGCTCAGATGTCTGCCCGGGCCCCGTCCCAACCGCTCTGCGCTGCCAGGAACTTGCCCTCCCTTTCTTGGAGTGAACTGTATCCTACCTTGTCATGCACAGGCTCCCCAGGCTGCCAGCACAGCCATCCCTGCAGTTGCTTTACTTTGTTAATCCTCTTTCCAAACACACGCAGACTGAGAAATCCCCTGTTCCTGAGCGGCCCGTCCATGTCTCCCACCTAAGATGTTTGTTCTGTTTCCTTTGCAGATGCAGCTGCTGGACAAGTTCCCCATTGAAGGCGGCCAGAAAGACCCCAAGCAAAGAATCATCCCTTTCCTACCAGGTAAATGCCATGGCAAAAGCCCTTCATTAGATGGGTAAGAATAGTTCAGAGTTGCCATTCTATAACTATCTACTCTAGTACCTTTTGTGACTGGCCTCCTGAACCCCTTTTCCCAGGGAGCTCACACGTGCTGGCCTGGGCTACCAGGTCTCCATGTAACAAAATAACTGGCATCGTCTTTAGGGCTCCCAGGGGATCTTGCATCAGCTGTTTAGGCTCAGGTTGCTGCACAAATGGGTTCTGTGGCTCCAGGGGCCTCTCCTGAAGTGGGGTAACTGCATCACCTGAGCCTGGCCAGTGACCTGGGAGGCCTCTGGAGGCCAGGGGCGCTGCTGTCTTCATTTCTGGTGCTGCAGCCTTGCAGACACACTTGCTGTATAATAAGGAATAAATAATCGAGGTTGTCACTGACTCACAAAGGAAACTGAGGGAAGCTTAAATGCAAACAGGGATTTCTGAGGTAAGCAAATATCTCCTTGGCCTCACATGCTGTCCCTCCGACAGCTTTGTGAGAGGAGCTGCACATGACCGACATCCTGTCCTCGGGGACAGCTCTGTGTCCCCAGGGGGGATGCGAGGACCTGGAGACCAGCAGTGCAAAGACATGACAGAAGCATCAGAGCCACAGTAGGACAGTGCAGCAGCCTCCCCAGGTGTCTGGAAACAGCAGCAGGAACCCCATGGTTTTGCTCCGCACGGTTCCTTTGCTGTGTGCAGGCCAGCTGCAGCCAGGGGGAGGTGGTGTTGTCCTCCACTTCCAACTGGGATGGGGAGAGGTATCCAAACTTAGGCCGTCTTTCCAGCCATGCCACCAGCAAACTGTTAGGTGAGTCAGCTTGAGGAACGTCTGTGCAATGAGTATTGGGACTGCTGGCCTGTCCTTCCTGCTGTAAAGTGTTTTGAGATCCATTAAAAGCAGCATACAGAAATCCCAGCCAYGCTAGGTGACATGCTGTGAGCGCATCTGTGTCTGCAGACAACARTTGTTCCTCCTACATTGGCAGCCACTGGCCAATTTATTTTGCTTTGCCCTAGACCAGTATTGGCTGAGTCTCGATTACCTAGTGCTTGGAGCCTGTTTGCTGTTCTCAGTGACGTGGATCCTGCCATATGGGTGGGTGATATTTGCAGAGAATGAGGTATGTCCCACGTGCCCATTACAGCACTTCTCACTCTTCCCACCCTCCAAGAACATGATGGAGATGGAAGTGCTGGGTGTCCCTGCGGGGAAGGGTTGGATCTGCAACACATTTGGTCTGGCTTAATGTCCGAAAGAAAAGAGCTGCCAGGAGTGAGTAGACCTCAGCTGTATTTAATTTAAAGTATCTGTGATATACGTTCTACTTTTAATATCAAATCCCTGCCTCTTTCTTGTTGAACTGCTGAAAAGCCCTTGTTGCTTTACTGGGGAACAAGGTGACTCAGCTAAATGTCAAACAATGTCGGAGTCTGTTAAATAGCTGCCGTAATTAGAATACACAGGGCATTTCTGCAGCCTGAGCCATGGATTACCGAGACAAACACCTCGCTATAAACTGTCTTAATTAAAAAATAGCAGGGCAGATGTTTGTACTTAAATCCTGCTTTTATGAAGATGTCGTGATCTTGCTTGCTTATTATGGGCCTGGTTCAGGCAAGCTGGCGTGGCTCTGCTCTGGTGCCCTCCCGCGTGGCACCGTGCCGAGGTGGCGCTGGGGACGCGGCGCTCACGCTGCTGCCGGCACCGTCGGCAGCCACCGCGCGCCCGGCGTTGCCGAAGGTGGTGGGAAGCGTCTGGCATCACATGGACACACACACGGCAGCAAGACGTCTAGATGGGGAGACAAACCCCTGGACGCTTTGTGGTGCAGTCACTGGTCACCTCCATGGGAGGCAGGACGTACAGGGGGTCTCTCTGCAGGGGAAGCAGGTTCCTGTGTCCCCGTCCTGCAGGGAAAGGGCTGCTCTGTGCTCAGTGCCTCCATCGCAGCACCAGGGTCCTGCTTGGGGACGGGGCAGGAAGCAGGACAGACCTTGACATCCTGTCACTTAAGCACCATCTCAGCCTCCTCGGTGCAAAACAGATGAAGATCATGATCCCTATTATAAATGGAAAGCAAAACGTGCCCTTCTGCTCCGTCCTAGCATCCTTCAGCAGATCTCTCTCCCTCCCCTTGTCTGCATAAATAGTAAATTCGTGCAGATCTGCAAAGTGTCTCGCTGCAGCTTTGCTCCCTGTGGGGCATGGCGCAGGGGCTGCCCAGGGCTCCTGCCCGTCTGCGGGACCTGCGACGTTTGGGCTGCAGCTTTGCACAACAGGCACCTTTCCATTCGCCTCAGCCGTTCTGCTGTGATTATGGTGTAGCAAATTACTAGGCAAAGTACCTCTCTACTAGGTCAACTGAGCTCTATATTATTTATTTTTATTATTTATATGTTTTATTATTGGATGATGCTGAATTTTTTTTTTGCATGTGAAAGCAGGGGATGTGTAGCAGAATTTGGGGTTTTGTCCTCCTAGGAGAGTCCATTCTGGGCTCAGCAGCAGGAAAATGSAGTTCTTCTTTTCTTTAGACACCTATATCATGTTTTTATCATTTTCTTTCTTCAGTGTTTTACCTCCTTTTCCGTCCTGTGCAAGTACAGACTCTACTGCTCTCCTTGCAATGAAGAGGAGCAAGGAGCTGATCAAGCGGATAGTGCCTGATACTCCCATAAAAGATGCTCTGTGGATTATTCCGTGCTCTTTGAGACTCACTCCCCTCAAGTTTTTAGGTTTTTTTTTCATACCAAAAGGGTAAAACGTACATTTTTTCCTCATTTTTCTTAATTCATCTTCTTTCCAGAAGTTTTTCCATTCTGCTGCCTGATTTCTCTTTTCACTGCCAGAAAGGCCTGGGTCAGGAGGTGAGGCATGAGCCAACCAAATAGGGAAGTGTGTGGGGGAGGCCAGACCAGACAGCATCGCTTTTTTTTTTTTTTTTTTTTTAATTGGTAGGATAGGGGGAAATGCCCTGAACTCTGTCAGCAAACAGGCCTTGTTTTGGAGGTGCTCACAGCTGATGGAGGGCAGCCCATCTGCGAGCCGTGGGGAGGGATCTGGTGTGGTGGATGAAGCCACACAGGCCATTTCCCGGCTGTGTTGCATCCCATGACCTGGCCCTTTCCTTGGGGACACGTGTTGGAAGAACAGGACACCTGCCTATAGCTGCCAAACGCCACGTGGCCGGCCTGGGTGAGCCGGGTCTGTTCCTCTGCTTGCTCTTCAATCCCTCCTCAGTTTCTCCTCCTGATTTCCCAGGCGCTGGGCCCGGCGGCGGGACGGGCAGCGGCGAGGCGGGACGCGCGCGGGGCCGGGCGCTTGCACGGCGGGACCTGCCTCCGCAGCACCGCCCCGGTACCTGGCGCCGAGGGGCGGGAGCGCTGGCAGCGGCCTCCCYGCCTTGCACAATGCCAGAGCCCGGGAATACTGGCTAGCGAGCGCCGGCCGGGACCTGCCTCGCCGCCGCTCCTGCCGCACCAGCTGCGGTGGGGACGTGGAGCTGCTGCCCATGAACTGCATCCCAGGTGCCTATGTCTGTCTCTCTGTTCCGGTTTCGTGCTTTTCCCCCTCCCAAACTTGCCGGTTCTTTGGGAAGGAGGCAGCTGAGAAGGACTCGAGCAGGTTTGCAGCAGCAGGATTTCGTCTGTGGTGCTGAGAGCGGCTGCTCCTCCCTGCTGTGCGTGTTCCACCTTCGCTCCCTTGGCTTTTCCGGGTTGGAGGAGAAGCAGCGTTTCGCTCTGGGATCTCGGGAGCTTGTTCGTGCGCCGGATTAGAGATGACGGGTTGATGCTCGTATCCAAGACCTTGGCATCCCGTGGTTCRTGTCTCCACCTGCGTAAATCAAGACTAGGATCAGCAAATGAGAATTGGCCKTGTGTGATCTTGTTACGGATGCTGAGCGTCGGCGGTGATAGCGTGCGGGGCGTCTTCTGCACGTACCCAGCACAGCTTGTCGAGGCAGAACACACGGGGATACAGAGAGCACTGGAGCTGCCTCAGGAGAGCCCTAGAAATCCCAAAGGGATGTTCTTGGCAAAGGCTCTTCTCTCTGTTGCAGAAGCTGTTGCCAGGTTGATATTTAAACGGAAATCCATTCCTTGTCCCAATTCCTTGCTGGATTTTATGGACAGAAATATATATATTTTTTAAAAATTCAGGTTTGTTTTCCATTTTTGGTTGTTTCCTCTACTGTGGTTCTCTGACCCTGGGCAACAAGCTATTAGTTCTTTCAACTTTTCTTTAAATCCATTTTGATGTTATGACCCACATGCAAAAGAACATGAAAAATGTTGCAACAGCTCAGAGCCCAGCAAAAAGTCCTTTCAAGGTTTACAGAAGGAGAAGGAGCGGTTAAACTTACTCACATCTTGCTTTTTGCATTAAAATATGAGCTAAACCTTCCTAAAGAGCCTCCCCTKGGCACGTGGGCACAGTCCGTGCAGGTGCGATAGCGCAGGGAAGCGCCGCAGCAGCCGCCTGGGCTAGGCCTTGCCCTGCGATAGCAGCAGCCACGGTTCTGCCTGGCCGTCCCGCACGGGGGCAAGGAACGACTCCCTCGGGAGCCAAGGTCTGCYGTGCGGGAGCCGGTCTGTCCAGGGGCTCTGCAGCGAGCCCCGCTGGAGCCCTCTCTGGAGCGCAGCCTGCCGGGCTGAGCCGAGCCGAGCCGAGCTGAGCTGAACTGAGCTCTGCTGAGCTGAGCTGTACTGAGCTGTGCTGAGCTGAGCTGAGCTGATCCAAGCTGAGCTGAGCCGATCCAAGCTGAGCCAATTCAAGCTGAGCTGATCTGATCTGAGCCGTACCGAGCCGATATGAGCCAATCTGAGCCAAGCCAAGCTGAGCCGATCCAATCTGAGCCCAGCCAAGCTGAGCTGGTCCAAGCCGAGCCTCCAGCTCGAGGAGGTGGGAAGGGGACAGGACAAGGGCCRGCTCTGGGCAGCATGCCGGGCGCTTGGGAGGGCCTGGAGGGGCGGCCGCTCCG